TTCAAAAAGCATGGCATTTTCACACCTTTGTTTCTCACGCTATCTGTACTGTCTTCCTCTGTAAAGCTACCTCCATGTCATCTGGCTTGCCGTAGTATTTTACTAGGAAGTAGCAAGTAACAATAAAAAAGCCACCAATGCAGTAAGATGCTGTTCTAATGTCTACCGTGGAATAGGTAAGGAAAGTCTCACTGCAAGCAGGCTGTAGCTTTTAAAAATGCTTTCGAAAGTTAGCGTTTTACTTTAAAAGTATCAAAGTGATAATGCTGACTGAAATCACAGAAATTCCTTCAAGGCTACTCAGGCAATTCTATGTATATGTGACTAAAAAATACACTGCATCTGCTGTATTTGGACTGAAATATAGTAGTGAGATACTTTGCATTAAGGAAACCTGACCAAAGAAGCCCAAGGAGACAGGTTGATAACTGCCATCAGAAAGGTCAGCAATTTTTAGCTTTTGCTGTTTATGACTTGTTTTAAAATAGGGACAGGATTTTTTTCCAATAAGAAGCCTTTCAGCTGTGGCTTGTCTTGAAGCGAATCTTGAAGACCCATTGATTTATCCATGACCTTTTCTAAAACTCTCTCAGTCCGTGATGACCCCTTTAAATGAAAACATTTCCTTGCTCGGAATAACTGAATCCTCTTTTTCAGGTGTGCCTGCTGAGGTGCGCTTTTATATTTTTGACGGTTTTCTTGCTATGGATTTTTTTTATCTTCAGAGGATGAATGGGGCTGATGCATTGTCAGTTGTTGGTGTGACTCACATCCTTCACTTCTCTCTGCAGAGCAGTCACTCATGTGTCTCAGGTCAGGTCTGCCACTGATCAGGACTAAACGGTCGTTGGTCAGCCAAAGCTGCTGCTGCAGATTCACAGTCCTGCTGAGTGATGAGAGAGGAGGGGAGGGAGATGAAAGGAAGGACTCAAAAAATTAAACTTTGTCCCATCCATGTATGTGCTACGGGAAGCCTACCTTGAAGGCCAGTGCTTGTTTTTGTCCTTAGGAGTAATAATAGCCTCATTTCTGGAGCACCATTTAAATCTTGCATTAACATTGATTTTTCTTCCTTCCCTTGTAGAATCCTGTGGTTAATTTGTTTTTAAAATGCTGTACAGTAATTACTTTATTTAAATGAATGATCTGACAAACTGATTCTTCATCAAAATTGTCACTTACTCTGTTACTTCTTCTTTAACCTGGACCTTACAATAAATTCTAAGTTTCCCTGTAAACCATCAGCAGAACATGGAAGAAGAGAAGCTATTTAATAAATTGCTAGATTTCATTAAAGATACATGGACAAAAACACAATAGAACAGCCAGATTTTATCTGCTGGCTTCTTTGTGATGCAAATTTATAGACTGATTCAACTCTTTTTTTACACACATAGGTCCTAACAGAAAAATCCAGCTCAAATAGATAGCAGCTCAAGCTTTTCATTGTGCAGCTATTCCAGACTTCATGCTGTCTCATGGACTTGTTCGTGGGCAGTAGGGCACCTCTCTTTGTGCTTAATTTAGAGTTTAATACAGAGAACAGTCAGTCAAGTAAACATTTACTGACTTGGAAAAATGACTTTTGGAGTCTCAAAACTTCCCCATCCAGCAAAGAGAGGGAGCACTAGTTTTCAGAGACCCTAAATGACACCCTGTTGAGCATTTCCAGTTCAACTGAACTAAATTTTCTGTGTAAAATTATGAACCTCTTGACTTCCTCTTCCATTCTTACACCAGATATGTCCAGAGTATCTCACCAGCAAATTAGAGCATGTAATCAAAATTGTCTGTAAGTTCTTTACTGCTGTGTTAACACACATATAAGAAACTCAGAAAGTACATCAAAGAGGTACCAAAATACTGATACAACTGTCTGTCAATGACCTATCGGAAATATTAGACATATATATGATAGTGCATAAGTAGTTATGATCAGTTTGCTTAGAAAACACATCCATGAAACACTTTCCCTCTTTTAATCACTCCTTCTTTCTCTCCACTCCTTCCCTCTGCCCAGTGAGCTTCTACTCTTTTTGAAAAGGGACCAAGCAAAAATTCTGCACATGAGGTATAAATAGCTCATGGATATACATCAATTAAAATCAATCTCCATTTATACGCAACTGATTAGAGGTCTGGAAAAAATTCTAGTCCTAAAATGGGAAAGTGCTTGTGTATGTTTAAGTATGAAGGTTATCTCAAGGGTAGTTGGGAGAAGTTTTTAATATTTTTTTTTAAAAAATGAAATAATAGCATAATAATAGTTTCCAAGATGGAGGAATTTTTTTGCCAAGATCAAATGGTAAGAGACCCATCCTATTGGAAATGGGGAGAGATAGTGGGTACCCTGTCTTATTGGAAAGTTATCTCAGGCTATCCATTAAACTCAGTGACTTCCACCTTGCAAATCACAACAGTTTTATCTTTCTGGCCCAAGCTCAAGTTGGCTTTATAGGCAACTGAAAATACTTATTTTCCTAAAGGGAAAGGAGGGAAAGTAAATTGTATTTAAATAGAAGACTAGTAAACTTGTTGGTATCGTCATTGGGATAAGGAATTATAAGGTCTTAAAGAACAAGTATTAGATTTTTTTCCTTCCAGTAACCCTATAGTTTGCAAATCTGTAAAATTCTGCTGTCAGCACTCCACATGGGGTTTTACGTTTTGTTTCAAAATGAGCACTTTAACTTTTTTTTCCCCCGCTATTTCTGTGTATCACAGTCTTCTCTAATTGCTTGTATGTTTTATGATGAAGGGGAAAAAATTCAGAAGGTCTTTAGGGTTCTAATATATGCATATAATAAATGAGAAATACATAGAGTGAACAAGAAAATTGCTTAAGTTGGCAAAATTGTTAAGTCATGTTAAGGTATTGTTATGTATGGGTTTGAGAGATAATATAATGCTGTGTATTCAAGAGTAGCTAGAGATTACATTGCTGGCTTGGGATTGATAGCCTCCAGTATTTTCACTGCTGAGTTAAAATTTGAAACAGGTTTTAATTCCACCGTGTTCCCATTTCCTGATTGTCAGCTAATGACTGCACTATTCCTACATTGGTGAAATCAAAATTGCAAGAGATTGCAGCACATTAGCTGAATACATTCTGATGCTTAGAAAATATAAAGTGATATCTGGGCCTCAAATTTAACACAGGGAAATGTGAAAATATGTAACTGAGAAATCCGAAGTATTCTCTAGTGACTTGGACTAAATGAGTAAATTATACTTGCAAAATCAAGTACTGAAGCTGGAGATTGCTGTTTAAAGAAGCTATTTTTTTTCAAATTAGCTGTATTTGTTATGCATTCATCAAATCCCAGTGCTCCTAGACAGCCTGAATGTGTTGTTGGCATAATAAAGTCCCTAGAGGCTAGAGGGAATAGACATTCCAGTGTAAGTGGGACAGCCTGTTGATTTGAAACATAGCCACTTTCCCTATCTCAGAATATATGCCAAAGCGTTCAGAATGCTTCCAAAATTCAGATTGGTTATTTACAGGTCCTTTTCTGGAAAACTTGCTTGCAGGTTAAAGAAAAACTCAGATTTGCCTCATTTATTTTAAAAAAGAGCAAGAAGTAGATACAATTGCAGTTTGAAAGGTAGAAACTAAGTTCTGACAAATTGAGCAGCACTCAAAGATCAGTTGCCCATCTGGGATTGTACAGAAAAGGCTGAGACATGTCTCTGTTCAAATAGTTCAAAACAGATGTTGGAAGAAGAATCTAGAGGAATGATAGTAAGTTAAGAGCCATTGTGCTAGATCCACCGCTGTCCTTGGAAGGAGACTTTTAAACCAGTGCCATCAAGATGCTGGTGGACACCACACCACTGGAGAGATCCCCTCACACTTTGGCACAGAGGTGATAGAAGTCTTCACAAGCATTTAAAAACCTTATTTTGAAAAGCCTGAATAACCCTCAGCAAGTTCGCTGATGATACGAAGCTGGGAAAGGTGGCTGACACACAGGTAGGCTGTGCTGCCATCCAGCTGGATCTGGACAGGCTGGAGAGCTGGGCAAAGGGGAACCTCTTGAAGTTCAATAGGGACAAGTGTAGAGTCCTGCATCTGGGGAGGAATAACACCAGGCACCAGGACAGATTAGGGGACGTCCTGCTACAGCCCCATGGAGAAAGACTTTGAAGTCCTAGTGCACAGTAAATTGTTCATGGGACAGCAATGTGCCCTTGTGGCCAAGAGGGCCAATGGGATCCTGGGGTGCATGAAGAAAAGTGTGTCCAGCAGGTCTCTGCCTTGGTGAGACCACACCTGGAATACTGTGTCCAGTTTGGGGCTCCCCAACTCAAGAGAGACCAACGGAGAGCTATGAGGGTGATTAAGGGACTTGAACATCTCTCCTATAAAGAGAGACCGAGAGAACTGGGGCTGTTTAGCCTTGAAAGGAGACGGCTGAGAGGGGACCTTACTAACGTATATAAATGTCTGAGGGGTGGGTGTCAAGGGGAAGGAGACAATCTCTTCTCAGTGGTGCCCAGAAATAGAACAAGAAAAAAATGGGTTTAAGTTAGAACATAGGAAGTTCCACCTCAACATGAGGAGAAACTTCTTTACTGTGAGGGTGACGGAGCCCTGGCACAGGCTGCCCAGAGAGGTTGTGGAGTCTCCTTCTCTGGAGACTTTCAAAACCCGCCTGGACGTGTTCCTGTGTGGCTGCCCTAGGGGATCCTGCTCTGGCAGGGGGGTTGGTCTAGATGATCTTTCGAGGTCCCTTCCGGCCCCGAACATTCTATGATTCTATGATCATCTTTCACAGATGTTTATCTAAGTTCTTTCATAATAACGAGTTAAGCTACAGTGACATTGTAGATAAAAACTAATGATCCAATATGCTTTTGCTGTGATGCTTTTAACAGCAGTTTAAACTGTCTTCCTTATATGAAAACTCAAATTATTATTGCTTATAATTTATTTTTCTCTTTTTATGTTCAATGATGAAGAGGTGAGTAACACTTCTCATTTATCTCTGTTTCAACAGGAGGGATATTCGAAACTGTGGAAAATGAACCTGTTAATATTGAAGAATTGGCTTTCAAGTTTGCAGTGACCAACATTAATAGAAACAGAACACTGATGCCTAATACCACATTAACCTATGACATCCAGAGAATTAACCTTTTTGATAGTTTTGAAGCCTCAAGAAGAGGTAATTATGTCAATTACTGTGTCAGTAACATACATGTTCTATACTACCTTCCTCCATCCTGGTCTCCTTTTTTGCTCCAATTGTAGCATGTGTATATTAACAGTAGCATAAAATTCATCTTTCAAAGTTATTTGAACTAAGAATGAAGCCGGGCTTGGACTTGTCATCCAGTTTCTGATAAAACACCTACATAATGTTTGCATGCTAAGAGCCCCAGATGGAAGGTGGCAAGTCCAACCCATTTTTCTTTCCAAAAAATAGATTTGCCACCTGGAATTCTGCAGAATATAATCACGGACTAACAAGGAGCACAGTGGGATGTCACAAGCCGTAATTAGCACACACACACACACAGATAACCATTATTCCTAACAAATTAGTTCTACTGTACTTTAAAGAACAGAGGCCAGTAGTCTTCCTGTTCTGAAATATTAATGTTTCAGAGTGTTAGTGACTGAAGCAAATTTGACTACTATTTGTGGTTATAAACAACTATAAGAAATGGAGGGAATAAGTTTGGAAGTTTCTTGCCTATTCTTTTATTTTTCTCAGGGGGGAAATTATGGTCCAATTTACTTGCATCTAATTTACTTGAAGACCGAAAAAGAAAGGGGAAAATAGTCACAACTCTCCTTAAGCACAGTGTATTTCTTCACCTCTAGGAGGCAACCTTGAATTTTACTAAAATTTTATATACAGCAATCTGGTTTCTGAAATTATGTCGTGTGCACACAATCTCACACAAGCAAGTCTGGGGAAAGACTCAGAAGTCAGTAAGACTTTGCAGTTCAGTTTAACATCTGTCATGGTAAATGGTGCAAGATATGCTCCCTATAAGGCAAAAGATGTGTCTGCTATAAGGCAAATGAAGGCTAGGAAATAAATATGCTTCGCATTATGAATCATGTTAGAATGCTGGTGAACTGTTGCCTTCTGAATGTCTAGGTTACTATATTATCCTCCTGGTACTCTAGTTTCTTACTAAAGACCAGAAGAAAGAGAACATTTTCAAAAAACATTGAAAATAGATTTAAGTTCTCTTTATTGCATTCTTTTTCAAGTATCTGATAGCTGCTGGAAGTATATGCTATCAAAAATCAAGCATGCTGGATATATAAACCATATAATCCCCGTAGAGTGAGAATCTCTTCTGTGACTATTGTAAAAGTACCTTCTCCATTTAATCTGTAGGGAAGAGTTTATTATAAGTATTTTTGTAAATCTAACGTGTGAGGAATTCATTCAGGGAGTAGTAATTTCTTCTCATCATTGATATTTGATATTATTTATGCAATTTGCACATTAAAATCTGTGGTCCTTTAAGAAGCCTTCTGAGTTAAATCTTGAAACCTGTGTATTTTATAGTCTGTAAAACACTCATTTCTAGACGAAAAACAGAAAAGAATTGATTTTCTGTCATATTCTATTACTGCTAGAGCACTAAATATTAATTTAAAAGATTCAGCTCCTTGTGGTTATTTGTGTACTTTGTACAAACACTGTAATTTCTAAATTTTCTACAAAGAACTACCTTACAAAGAATTCAGCACTGCAACTCAGTACAAGGCTTTATCCCAGTCAACAAAGACCTTATTAGAAACAGCTGCAGTACTAATGGACAAAAGTAATTAATATTACTTCATCTTCTGTGTGTTAGCCTGAAAAGACATGGGAAGGAAATAAAAATGAAGACACGTAAAGGAGAGATTCTTGTGGCTGAGATATAGTCACAAGGAGAAATAAAACTTTGTTTTTCACTGATTTGGACAGGTATTAAAATGTCAGCGTGTGTTGGTTCTTTATTTTCCTGTGTCATTATTGAGGGCTTCAGGCTTTACTGCCTGTTTTGTAAACACAGATTAAGGAGCGCCATGAATCATAGTGCCCTTTACTGTTTATATTCTTTCAGTAGGCTGAAATTAATGCAACTCACGTGGGTAAAAGCTTGCCAGTCCTGGAGGGAATCCACATGGTGTCTGTTGTGACTCCGTGGACGTATTTCCTGATCCACTGCCATGAGAATTAGTTCATATGACATCCCTTTGGCAAGCCTGTAGCCAGATATCTCCTGGTTTCTCCAGTATAGTGCCATTCTGAGAAAGACAATTTAGGAAACAATGTTATCTCAAGGTAATGAGCAAAGAAGTTGGTTTAGGTTGTTTGGGTTTTTTTGTAGCAAGCAGGTTCTAGGATATAACACTAATCAGTAAAGCCAATTTCATGAACCATTTGCAAACCTCTCAGTGGGTTTGGGAGCATCATGTTTACCCATTCCCATTTTGAAATGATGGGGACAGATGGAGAATAAATGATCTTGGTAAACATCACACAAGTTGCTTGCTTCTGCCAGCTCAGAGCTTCTTCCTCTCCCTTCCTCTCCCCCTCAGCATGCGACCAGCTCGCTCTTGGTGTAGCTGCTCTGTTCGGACCTTCCCACAGCTCCTCCGTCAGTGCAGTGCAGTCCATTTGCAATGCGCTTGAAGTCCCACATATTCAGACCCGATGGAAGCACCCTACGGTGGATAACAAAGATGCGTTTTATATCAACCTCTATCCAGACTACACAGCCATCAGCAGAGCAGTTTTGGATCTTGTGCTATACTACAACTGGAAAATAGTAACAGTGGTATATGAAGACAGCACAGGTAAGTAGTACTGGTGCACTGCAGTTCATGGAATTGTTGAATCATAGAATCATTTAGATTGTAAAAGACGTTTATTAATGTACATACATGAATAAATTCTGTGAGAGTGCCTGTGATAGTTCGGTTTGGCATACTTACAGCAGTTTTCCCTAGAATATAGAAGAAAAAGGTCTCTTAAGGCTCAGCAATCCTTCTGCTGCTATGGCTTTTGGAAAGCTCTTAAGAAGACACCAGAAGGTAGTTCCTGGGTTCTGAGCACTCCCTTGCTTTTTGCTTCTTATTTGTGGAACAACTAACACAGCTGTAAAGGGATTCCTCCTCTCAGGGATGCATCTACAAACTGAGAGTTCAAGCTGCAGCGTTTTTAACGTAGATGTTACCTTGCCATTTGGGTACTGAAGCTTGAATTTGAAAGTTGCAATTCATATGAATGTTTCCAGCCTGGAACTCCTAACTCAGAGAAGATCATTCATTCTTTGTGACAAGAACCTCCTCCTGGGGCACACAGTAGTCAAAGCAGTCCAGTGACATACCACAGACAATTAATAACATTTGCACATCCCTTTTTATTCACAAGGAAAAAACAAGAAAAAAAAAAACTCATTCTTGGGAACAAGTGATTTAAATGCTTATCAAGAACCAGGAGTTTGGGGTATTTTTAAGTACACAGGCTGTGGAAAGTGTCAAAATCCATGGAACTGTTTCATGTCTTTACATATACAGGCTTTACTACCCCTGCAGCATATAATGTACTCTATTTGTTTCTGAGAAATATATTAGCTGCTCTCTCATTGAGAGAACTGTGTACCTAAACTGCTCTCAGAAGGAGTCCTGTCCAGCAGGATTACACACAAAATTTGTTCCAAGAGTGGCTACAAAGAAAATAATCTCTCCTACAGTGTAAATTCATTCATGGCTTAAGGATCCATTATCGGGTTTCACAAGAAAAGGTTTTCATGCAAAAAAAAAACATTAAAAGCTCAGAGAAGTCTATAGCTCTATATAACACTAGGTAAGGCCTGTCAGCTGATTGATTTTTGCTGGTAAGGGCACATTCTAAGCAGTAGAAAAGCTTTTCTTGGAGACATCTACAGAGCTGAAGAAAACAGAGCCAACTAAATAAGACTCACACTGACAGTTATTCCACGTAAACTCCCACCATCACTATTCAAGACTATTTTTTTATGGAAAAGTTGTCCATTAGCAGTCATTGGTGCAAATTTGGCACCTCTTTGTCAACCCCACTCTCAATCTTGCATTCCCTTTTCTCTTCCCATTGCCCACAGAAATATAGCACATTCTGGAGCTCCACAGATGTGCAGGTAATATTTAAATTGGTATTTTGGCAAGCAAACTTGGATGAGCCATGAGTTCAGGCATCTACATCAGCCTTTAAAGGGAGTATAAAAAAAAAAAAAAGAAATCATGCTTTTAAAAATCACATTGTAAAAATGTGTCTGAAAGACAGAATTCTGCTAAAAAATCCACCTAAATTCAATTTAAGGCCAAAAATGTTGTATTTATTTCTGCACTCAAAAGCAGCATGTTTCCTCCAGGATCCAAGAGTCAGGACTCAGTGCCAATGTTCTGCTCCCCTTGGATTGAGAGAGTAGACCAGAGGACTGGAGACAGAAGAGAAAGCTCAAGTCAGGCTGGGCTTACTTCAGCAATCTTCTTGCACTTTCATTATGATGGTCTAGCTCAGCAGGATTTCTGCAGGACTTCCGGCTCTATATTGCCAAAATATGCTCATGGATAAACAAGTAGAGGTTTTTTTCAGCCTACCCTGTTATCAAATTAACACTCCATAACACTAAGTGCTGTGTATGTATCCAGTTACAAAAATGACTGGTATGAAAGGGACTTGATTTGCAGAGATATTTACAAAGTATATTAATCATCAGTCATCTTATTAACTTGGAGTTGGGAAAGTAAACAGGTCAACTTTGATCAATATAAATAGTCTTTGAAATTTGAGTTAGAGTGACACTATTTAGCTCAAGCTCTTTTTATTTCTCATTTCTCATGTTTGACATTGTTACACCTCAAGAACAAAAAGCATATTAACTTTTTTTTTTCTTAGACATTAATTGTATGTGAAGAGCAGCTTCATTCCTAAACAATGGGCTCACAGCTGTAACAGTGAACTTCCGATGATCCAGACCCAGACTATTCAAGCTGAGATTAGCTCTGCTCCAGGTTAAGAGTCTATTTTGAAGTTTTAAGTGTGGAAAATCCTGTTCTCATCCTTCACACTGCAGCATTGCTTCAAGCTCATGTGCTATCATGGCCGGCTCCAGCACTGAGGCTCACCTCTTGTAGTTACAATTTTCAGTGCTGCATGGACACATGATTATTTTACAGCCCCAATTTTTCATGTGCCAGTTGCATGTTATATGAAATGGACATCTCCTGGGGGCAAGTTCTTTACATCTAGGTAGCTACCTGTGCCAACAGCACTTATAACACCAAAGGCACTTGGTACGACACAGAGCTATATTCCCTTGACAGCTTAACATTTCTCCTAGTTATAATCCCAAGTTTTCATTCTTCAGTGTTTTACCACCATATCATCTTTATTCGTATCCTGTACAGTGCTTATACTGGGATAAGTCATTCTGTGTTATCTCACATACTCTTTCTGATATTGACAAAACATTAACACTTTTTCCAGTTTTTTAGAATTCGTTCAAGGTTCTAATCATATTCATTGCTGAGTATTAGTAATCTACTGAATGGACTCTGTAGGACTGTCAGTGATAGGCAAATTCTATATAAGCAGGCCTAGAAAAATCTGTGATCAAAATTGCTAAAAATTATATTTGGAGTAGGAAGTACTTACTCATCCTGCTTCTTGTTAAATATTTGGTAGTTAGATAGTACCAAATGCACCATGTTAAACAACATCACTGTCTCCTCTGAAGGGACATACTCTAAAGGTTGTATTTTGTTCCTGAAATACATTTGCAAAATTTCTTCATGTTTCCTGAGCTGAGGTGATCAGATTTTTAGCCTCTTGTCTCTAAGACTTCAGTATAAAAAAGAATGATAAAGCACACTGTAGCTGATACTTATTTCTATTTGCTGTTCTTATTATGCTATTGAAAGATGGACTTTCAGCCAAAGCCATCTTTCTTGTTAGCAAATTGATGGCCTCTGGCTATAAGTATTTATTTAAACATCTCATAGTCTTCCTGAAATTCTCATCCCACTCATTAATGCCTATAGCTTTCCAATGCTAGAGAAAAATAACGCTCCTAAGCAAGTGTATTTATTTTTTGGGACTGTGCTCCTTTTTCCATATTGAGCATAATGCATGTTATGTTTGGAGTTCCCAAGCCATAATTAACTTTCATTCTGATTATTAATTCCTCTTTATTTTTCATTGAGATGTTAGAAAAGAGGTAGTTTATATCAGGTGCAATACCTTTGTGCAAGGCAGAAAAGTGTCTCCTGAAGTTTAAATGTGGTCTAACGAAGCCTTGCTGTAGACTGTATGATACATCGAGCATGTGTTTCCCTAACCATAAATATGGTTTATCTTTCCACATGCTAGAACTGGGTAGGCATACTGTTCTCTGGTTTAATTTAGGGGTATGTAATGTATTCCTTCCAATGTCCTACTTTTGTATTTAGTTGTTTGGCACATTTATCTGTAATAGACACATGATTTTGCCACAGATAGCAGCTCAAACAAAAGGAGTAACACCATCTTCAGTGCAGATTTGACTCTGCTTTTGATCTGTCTTTCTGGAATTCAATAATTTTAACCAGCTAGGTGCTGAGAAGAGCAACTACATCAAATTCCGCATCTTCTGTAAGAATCCCTGACTTTCCCAACTTGTGAGCCTGCTCTTCCAGCATTTAAGGCACAGGGGAACCAAATATTTTTATTGTATTGGTTCAAGTAGTTTGCACAAGGCAGAATTTGAGTTCTTACAGAATTTGCTTTCTTTGAACTTGCAGTTACAAAGGACATGTAACTTGCTAATTGTAACACATTTTTCTAATAAAAAGGAGTACTTTCTCACAAAGCAGTAAAAACATTTCTACAGTTTTAAGTCTGGCTGAATTATATATACTTTTTTTTTATTATTAAAGGGGGAGAAATGGGGAGGTGAACACTTTCTACTGACACATACTACCATGCTCTCTGTTTATGTTTATTTGCCAGTTGGAACACTGTGTTTATTCTAGGCATGTTTGAGCTCCTAAATGCATCACATAGAACTTGCAGTAGTTCTAGACATGAAATATTAAAAAACTTCCATGGTTTAACATTCTACTGTACTGTCAGGGTAAAGCATTTCTCCCAGTCAAACCACTAGCTGAAGCTGAAAATCCAGCCCCAAAGTTTACTGCATCCATCAAGGTTAGAGACTACAAGAAGCTTCCACTTGGGTGGACTCTACAGCATCTTTCCTACCCAAGTTCCTGCTCCAGCACAGTCCTGCATCACCGATCAAGTCACATCACCCGCTTTGCAAAGGGGGGACCCATGCTCAAGATATGTCTCTTCTAAGCCTTTCGCAGCTTGATGAGCATTTCTTTGCCAACCTCATGGGTGGTCTGTGATGCCTACTGCCTGTTGAAGGTGGAGATTCTGATGGAGCTTGCTCTCCAGGCAAGAGAAAAGTAACTGCTCAAAGCACTGAGCTTGCCTAGGTCTTTCCCACTCCACCTAGGAGTCAGACTAAGCACTTCACATTGAAGATTTGTCCAAAATAAAGAATTCATGGTATCATAGCCAAGGGTTTGGATTGGTTGCAGAGGAGGAAGAGAAAAGAGAGCACTGATTCCCCTGTGTTGGCAGTCAATTGATTCAAGCCTGGTCCTCCAGAAATGTAAATGCAGTTCTTTTCACTGTTTCTTTGATTTCTTCAGTGCACTGTAGCTAGGCTGTGCCTTCACTTCATGTTGCAGTGGAAAGTGATAAGAAGTGCACAGTCCAAGTCTCACATGGCTGAAACAGATATTTCAAGGCACACAGCATTTTCCTCCCTGTCCAAAAAAAAGATATTAATGTGAGTGGGTAAAACCTTCACCATGCTTGCACTTATCTACTTTTTGTTGCTGGGAAGAGAAACATCAGTACTCAGTCTGAGGCTGTGGATAAGTGGCAAGATCCCCACATGCTGGACTTTTCCCCCCAAATCTTAGTTTTCCATCTCAGAGTTGCCATTCGTTATAATGGCCAGAGCACTGCAGTCAAGGGCCGAACACTTGACTACAGGGTACAACCAAGCTACAGCTTTACAGACAGTTTCCATAAACCCCTACTTGTTAGTCACTGTTGGAAACAGTGCCCCATTCTTATAATAATGAATTCAAATTGTTTCAAATTTACACAGGCTGGCTTGCAGCCGTGCTCTGATCTCACAGCACATGCAGCAATTTAGATTTGAAAGCTTATGATACTTAATATGGATTCTATATTGATTGTTGAAACTTGAAGACCTGCAAAGAACAGATCCAGCATTGCAGATGGAGGGAAAGATTATTTATTTCAAAATGCATTGCCAGTGCTCGAGTAAAAGCCAGCAGTCCTCAACATAGCAATCATTCACTAACCTCAGAAGAGATAGTGATGCTTCAGCTTGCCTTATATATACCATTGGACTGTTCAGCCAAAGATATTCATGCACAGGACAAACATATACCCTCTCCCAAGAGGAGAGGGATGAGTTTTTTCTTATTAATAATTTGTTTGATTTTTGTTCAAGAAGCACTTCTTGCCCATTCTCTCTCTCTTTATGCATATTTCAAAGCCAGTCTTTTACTTTAGCAGGAAATCATGAGTTTTTTGTGGGTAAATTACATTCAAGGATAATGAGAAAGAGACTGTAATCACACACCTCAAAGAACTCTTAACTATTTTACTTAGGTTTTGGAGGCAGTAAAAATTACATAGGAGTGCTGAATTAGCTAGTAGAATTGCACAGTGTTTAAATACTTGGACAAATCTTCAACTGGTTGAGCTCCACCGAATTCAAATGAGCCTTGTAAATCTGTGCCAGCCAAAGACACTGTCCTAGAAACCATGTTCTTGTGTTTACATGTGTAGAACTGGATCTCAAAACATTTCAGTTCTTCATAAGAACTCAGGCTGGTTGAGTGACCTTATGCAAGTCACTATGCCTTTCAGGCTTTTTGATGATAAGAAAAATTTAAGACTGAAATGAGGACAATGAGAGCCATATGGATGGCTATTAAGAATAATTATTGATAAGTGCCATTCAGGCCAACACTGGCATCTACGTGAGCCATGATGTAGATGCTGGCCGTGGAACATTTTTCTCCCTCTACATCCCCTCATCTGCTCATGCTCGACATTAGGCAGGAACGTTAGTAAGGAGGTTTCTTAATTTCTGTGTTCTTGTTGTTGGATATTGATATAATGATTAGCAGCCAAGAAAGAAGCATTGTATCCTTTTTGCAATAAACTATCAATATAGCATCAATACAAATATATCCTATAGTCAACACATTAAAAATATATTTCAGAATATTTAGATATTGAAGCCAAATATAACCATGGAAAGGAAAAGCTGTAACAATATTAGTTATGCACCTTGCAAATACGAAGCAAATATGTTGGGACTGATAAGAGAACCTATTTAAGTAACAGTAAATAGTCACTGCACAGAATGGTTAGTTATGGTATTGCATATCTTTTTTCAGGTCTGATTCGCCTGCAAGAGCTCATCAAAGCCCCTTCTAGATACAACATTAAAATCAAAATTCGCCAACTGCCCTCTGGGAATAAAGATGCCAGGCCTTTACTCAAGGAGATGAAGAAGGGCAAGGAGTTCTACGTAATATTTGATTGCTCACATGAAACGGCAGCAGAAGTCCTTAAGCAGGTAAGGGGAAGGGGGTGAAAAAGCATGACATGCATTTTGTATCCTGAAAGTTGTCAGTCTCTCTGACTTTCATTTTCTGGGAAACGCTAAACCCATAGGCACTTACCAACTGGAACATCAGCTTGTTAATGCTAGGGACAGAAGTTGTTACAGAACACGCAGTAGCATCTGAGCACTCCACAAGATTTCAAGACTTCACAGAGCCTTAACGACCAGCAGTAGTATTAATGTCTGAAGACAGGCCCATAGATATCCCACAGAAGGAAATATATGTTTGTATTTAATACTTCAGGTTCTGCTTGACTAGGAAGATTGTTGCATTTATTTTAGTTTGTCCTGGTGTAAAAAATACAGCTTTTATGTCTTCTCTGACAATTAAAAAATAAAAAAGATCCCATTTTGGAGTGTTTAGAGAGTGGCTCACATTGAGCTATTGCCTCCACAGAGGCTGCACATCAAGTTCAATGCTGACTACAGTAACAATGGGGCATTAATCTGCCACAGACAAGAGTGTAACTCTGCATTCATTTCCCTGTGACAAAGCAAGATTTGGTCTTCTGGCACCACCTCATTACATTTTAAACTCTGGTACAGCAAGAACATGGAACTGAGAGAGTATCAGAAGAAAAACGTGTACTTTAAAGCAGGAAGAGAGGCTATTGTGCAAGGATTGACATAGCCCTGACCTAAGCATGAGAGTTGGACAGCCACACAAGGCAAGGACAAATGCCAAAATACCTGATGTTAATGGGCTGGGGTGTTACCAGGAGCACACAAAGAGTGGTGTAAATTAGAATTTACTGTTGTCACTTACTATGTTTTTCTAGACAATCAAAGTCTAAAACACTGGCTTCTGCAATTCATTGATCTGTATACAATAATATCAAGCAAGTAATACACTGTGAGTGGCACTTCCCTTTTTGCTGCAATTGAAGGTATGCGTGGCTGTTGGGTTTACCATCAATCAGTCTAATGGGAAACACTGATTCCAGAATACCATCAGAGAGATTTCACTGATCTAAATGTTCAGATATGGGCTGTCCCATAAAAGTTAAAACCTATGCTTCCAACTGAGAGTGTTTTGCTGAAATACTTAAGTTACGCAGAGTAGCATACTGTATCAAAACTAGAAAGACAACTTTATGGTTGCATTAGTCTGAGGAGCCTGAAATCGTCCTCTCCAGACTGGAGAATCTTGTTCCTGTGAATACAGACATGCAGGATAGTGTCCTAAATCAGATGCAACATAGCTGAGAACAGCACACAAGTTCCCATGAACTGGTAGAGGTAGATTATTTCTGTTGGTAAAATTGGCCTATACTAAATTTTAGGGGTTTGTGAGTGCAAGTAGGGCCAGATTCAGACGTGACGTTGGGGACATGAGAGAAGAGCAAGGGGAAGGTGCACAGTCATGCAGCTGCTCTCTCATGTGATGGGAGAATGATGTAGCAAGTGGCATTGATTGGGAAGAGAAGTGTGCAGAGGAGCTGCTGTCCCCCGACTCTGCTCCCTGCAGGGCTGTCCAAAAGCATTAAAACATGACAGCAGGAACAAGCTGCTCCAAAATGAGATTTGTGGGGGAAGAGTTAAACTGACAACATGAATTTTCAAGTATCTGCAAGAAGAAAGTGCAGATGTCTGGCACACTGCAGGAGGCACAAAGCTTCAAAAATATCAGGCTGAGTGTGGAAAAAAAAAAAAGAAAAATAACCTTAGTGTCAAAAGAAGAAAAGGAAGTGCTAAAAGATGCACCAAGACAGGGCAAAGTGACAGAATGGTTTATATGGGAAATGGATCAAGGAGACAACTGGCAGGCTGCAGATACAAATAATGCTCTCCAATGTCTCAAGAGCACAGAGAAGGATGGTGAAAGGCAGTGCGGAAGAAAATAGGAAAATTAAGAGAGGTACACCTGCGGGTCAGGGCTGCGGGAAAGGAAGCAACATAAATATAGGCTAGGAAGAAAGGGAAAATAGCTTTTATATGAGATACTTCTGTAGCTAAATCTAGAGGCCGGCGGCAGTAACTCAGGTGTTGAAGATCCTCACTGTCAAAGGCAACTGTAAAATGGAAAGGTGTGGAGGGCTCTGAATTCACATGTGACTCATCTGATTATAGGTTAGCTACATGAAGTACTATGGTTCACATTCTCATCACTGCACACAGAAACCCCTATATAATTTTACGCTGAATAAATAAAAAGATATTAAATAGAATACTATAGAAATTATTTTAAGAAAACTCTGCAATATTAGTAGAGAATATTTTTGGTTTTGTAAATGATCTGAAAGACACTATGGGAAATATACATATTATTGTTAAATCGTGTAAGATTTCTAGCAGGAGTAGGAATCAGAGCCAACAGTCACCTGATCACCTGTCCCCAAAACAACAATTCTTTGTCTGCCCACTGTATTTAAAATAAAGCAGCAGATGCTTAGTAGCCTGTGCAGAAGAAATGAATAAAGGAAGTGGAGTTTTGTGGTGAGTTGGGTGGTGGAGGGTATTTTACAGATTAAAAATGCAGCAGGGTCACAAGCACATATACACAATTAATTATGCTTGGTTCCTGTGTCCTACCCGCTGAGCCTGCACAGTTTACCCAGAAAAACCCTTCACACAAGGGTTTGCATTTCCTCCAGAAGAGCAAGCCCCCTCTGCGCCAGCATCTGCTCCATCTCCTTTGGACAGTCCCCAGGGAAGGTGGGCAGCATCCCTCACCTCTTCCGAGCCTCTGGGAAAGAGGCAAGAGTCCACCTTTTGCCTACTCTGGCCACTTTTCCCTGCTGCGTGGCAGAGAGGCATAGAGCCAGCAGCATTTCTGCTGCCAGCCACCAGCCTGCCTTTGAGCTGAAGGCACAGAATCACAGAATTGTTGAGGCTGGAAAAGACCTCTGAGATCATCAAGTCCAGCCCATGACCCAACACCATCACATCAGCCAGACCAGGGCACTAAGTGCCACATCCAGCCTCTCCTTAAACACCTCCAGGGACGGTGACTCCACCACTTCCCTGGGCAGTGCATCCCAGTGCCTGAGCACACTCTCGGTGAGGAAGGGCTTCCTGAGATCCAACCTAAACCTTCCTTGATGCATCTTCAGGCCGTGCCCCCTCGTCCTGTCACTAGTTGCCCGGGAGAAGAGCCTGACCCCCACCTGAAGGCACAGACGGCAGAAAAGCTGCTGTACTTTCTCCCAGCAGTGCCTGCACTGCTGGCGTTGGCAGTGGGAGCAATGGTTCTGCAAGAAGGGGCTGCTTGCACCAGATATCAGGGGACACTGGCTGGGGCATGGCTTGTATCCCAGGACACGAGGGATGCCTAAAAGTTCCTCCCAGAAGCAAAAGGATTAGCTCGTCTGAAATTATGTCTGAAAAGAGGCAGCATTTGGAGCTGATTTGGGGCGTGTGGAGCTACCTGACTCAGCCTCATTACCGGCATGTGGGACTTGGATATGTGACTTCTTCACTGGCTTCCTTCAACTTGTTGTTTACAAAAAAGCACAAAAGACAGTTTTCTTCTCTTGAATGAGACTTTGCTTATTTATAGCTTCAACTAAAATACCATTGAGCTATGCTTCTTCCTTGTGCATGAGAAAAGGCAAATCAATAACCTAATTTAAACAAAATACAAAGCCTGCACTCAGCTGAATAAACTATTCTGGAAACTCACACTTTCCCTCTTTTCTTTAAAATGCTGCAGAGAATTCAGGCTTTCACAGCCAGCTTAATGAGGTCTGACCCTCTCATCACCCAGATCCGGAAGGAGCAAGAGAAAATTATGATTATTAATTGCTGCCTTTTCCAATAGTCACTTCGAATATTCCCTCATAAGGGTTGGTAGCCTCATGCAACTGGTGCATGGTGGCTAAAGGAGTTTTCTAGCTCTGTTGCCTGTGCCAGGTAACCACCCAAACCCAGAGATCTACTCCCAAAGTGACCTACTCCACAGGGATCAGGATATTCTGAACTTGCTTGAACAGGGAGGTTATACTAGCAGGGTTTTCAAACCACAGGTATTGCACCATCAGAGCACATGGAAAAAGTTGCAGTTGGTCTGACACTCCCATATTCTACTCGAAAATCTTGGCTGCTGGAGCTTTAAAGCATAGGAAGACTGGACAAATCATCCGACAAGGAAAGAGATCTAGTAGACAATTAGATGGCAAAAGCAGAAACTAAGTTCAATTGTGTCTTCTTAGGGTGAAAATTTGATCTCCAAAGTCCTGCTCAGGATGAAATTAAGCTCTGTAGGAGCCTCCCTGTTTGACTTCAGCAGTGCCTGTCCTGCTTTCCTCCAAGGATATCCAACATCTCTTTCCTTCTCAAGCCTAAAAATAGTCACCCCTGAAAGGGTGTGAGAAAAAAAGGTGCCAAAATAACTTACCAAAGAAGGACTGAGTCCTTTATGCAAGGAAGTTAGAAATACTTTCTTAGGGAAACAGCTGATGGTTACAACATTCACCTGAAATATTTTATGCACCGAGACTTGGTGCTCTGTGTAGACTAGGCAAACAATCCCACAAGTCAGTTAAATCTAGCTCTTGCAAACTGCAAACTGTTTTATGCAGGAATCTTCCAATATATCCCGCACATACTGTATTTAGTCTGATATTGCCTTTTTGTATAAGGAACTTAGTTCAAGAGATTTAGTTGTTATGATTAACCTTCAATTTATTCTTCTAACACACCAGCAGTTGACACAGATTTTGCTAATTTCTCATAGATTACATTGCTACTGACCTTAAATTATCTACTCCTTCCTCCACATCTTTAAAATAAGTTTTATGAAATGTACTGTATTTAGGTTTAGGACACTCATAAAGCAGTCTATAAAGATTTCTGTGTTCACTTTCTCTATGTGACAGACAAAGATCAAAATAATTAATAAATTTCCTACAAAAGTATGAAAACTGTGGGTCATCGTAGTATATGTACCAGGTACAACAACAAGTGTGAGAATATAAAATTTCATTTCTTGAGTATGGTCCTTCTGGTAACTT